AGTTATTCAGTCACCTGTTGATGAATTTAACAATATGAAACACCTCTTTAAAGGCAGGACCCATTCGCACACATTACATTGGTCATCAGTGTCCTCAGCGCTCAAGACTTTGGGACGCTGGCCATCTATAACAGCTGGTCGTGGCTAAAGACAAGGCGACGCATTTCCTGCATCCCATATGTTTTTTCAGGGCTTGCCGTGTTCCCGCTCCTCTGAGTGATGGCACAAATCCCATTCATATTTTTATCTCAGCTCTCGCCTCACTGCCATCATCCAGCATTAACCTGGATAATTTGGCCGTTGCTGTATGAATGCGTTTAATATTCATGCATTTGGAGGATGCATTTATCCAGAGAGATTTACAGTCTGTTCGAGGTATACTTTTTTATTATGGCCGGATGGTGTGACAGTATTGACTTTGCAATGGTAGAAATGTCAATTTGCACTGCTTACTTTCACTTACATCTGAGACAGACTAACAAACATATAATGTGAATAATGCAGAGCGGGTTGCGTCCCAAACAAGTCAAGATTTTGTTTAGGGCAAGAAAATCTAGGTAAAACCATTGTTTGTTTGTTTTTCATGCATTGGACAATTTTTAGGGTTTTTGCTTCCATAACATGTCATCTTTTTAGACTATTGGAAAGAAAACATAGATAATGCACATTTAAGTGTTTATTTATTGCACTTTATCTATTTGCACCTGTAGATTTCAATTACAATACGTATCTTTGAAGCCCGCTTACATAAGCCATAAACCAAAATTTACAGTATTCTGAAGGTTTTTACTGAGGGGTTTGTTCATATTTCATTCAGACTGATTTATTTTATTCGGAAAAACTTCGTGAAAAAATTTATTTTTTCAGCTGTTGACAGTATTGACAGAGTGATTAAAAAAGAAATCCACATTTTCCTCTGAAAACCTTTAACTCTATCAACAAAATCAAACAAGAATTTTGAACCTGGTTTTATCCAATGTTCAGATTTATCTTATGGAAATATATGCAAATTACTGCATATTTAATTGCATATTAATTTTATTTTTAGTTATCAAGTTAAACTAGATGAAAATGAGGTGTTGCTTTGGAAACTTGCTGAAAGAAAACAAGTTCATGTTTATTTTATTTTAAGTAATGAAAATGGTTTTTAATGGTTTTAATTTTAGTTACATTTTTAGTTAACTATAATAACCCTGCTAATTTGCATATTTAAACAAAACATTTCAGAAAACTTGTAATACAAAACAATGGTCTTATTGTACTGTGATTAATCCAGTGGGGAAAGTAAGTGATATATATTTGTTAAAATTTTTAATTGTATAAAATTCACCTATAGTGTCTTGTCTTAATGTAGCAAAGCAATGTTGCGACTTGTTGAATTAATACAGAATTAAGCTGAGCATCATAGATGTGTAAATCGGCTGTTTTACAAAGACTTGCTTGACATTTGAGTAAAAACATGTAGTGCAAAAGATTTTGGTCACACTCATGGCATTTCATCAATACATTCATTCCTTGGCAACTGAAACCTTGACCTTAGTGTTGCAGCATCCCAGATTTATTAAACAAAGACCCGTTCGTGAACTAATGGCCCTTTTACAGATTTGCTGCTAAACCTGTGTGTAACTGCATTGAGTATCTCATGCAGTGCGCTCACAACCTCTCGCGCTCTCACCGTGGCTTGAAAGATTAATTGTAGCCCTTTGCAGTGCGCTGGAACATGTGTCGAGAATGATGGCGCTTCCTCGCCGCCTCCTCCAGCCCACGGCTTTAATTAGCTAACGACGTGCACAGAGCTCACGCTTCACAGACCAACAAATGCAAGATGATATAAAGAGTGAGCAATAGCTGAGCAACTAGCGCTGATTAGATTAGTGAAACACGAGAAGATGTGATGTAAAGGCCATTTGCTGGTTACCTGAGCGTAACGCGGAAACATAATGCTATTAAATTCACAATAAAATCTTATGCAGAGTGATAAAATACAGATAATAGGACACTGAGCTGCACATAAAGACCAAAGGCTGCGTTTTGTTCAGAGACAGACCTTGACGGGAAGCTTTTTTAGCATTTATGCAAGAAAATGAAGAGGTAAAGATACACATTAGGTGTGTAAATCATGCTTTGTGTTTTACTTCACATGCACCTACAGAAGATGCTCAGAAATGTAGTTTTGCACAAGTCTGCATCTCATAAACCAATGCATAGTGTTTCCAGACAAGCTTTATTGCTATTATTTAGAAACAATAAACAAAATGTGCACACATTAACTGTGAACGTAATTCTCAGCAAAAATGAATATCCTCCTGAAATCATTCAAACATTAATTTAAATGTTTTTAATTTTTAAATTTGTTTTAACGAATTAAAGGCAAAATTAAATACTGAAGTACAATAGTGACCATTTATTAATATGACTTAATGGCGATATGTTGAATGGTCACAATATGTTCGCTATGATTTTGTGGGCAGTATTGTGTGATGATTTTATTGTTTTTATTGTCTGTTACGTTTTCTAAAGTTAGGTTTTATCTCATGACTCATGAGTAGGGAAAAACTGATATTGCAATATTTAGTTTTTCTGCTAAATGATTTGCGATATGACAAAATATAGGATTTTTTTTTTTTTTATCGGCTGACTTCAATAGGTATATTTGGAAAAAAAATAATTATTAATTCTAGGATGATTTGAGTGATTTTGCATGCATCTGCGTAGAAAATAAAAAACATTTTAAAAAGCTGAAACATTACTTTTTACTCACTTTTTTCAATTGCAAACCATCATTTCAGAAGTAAACGATTTTTGAAAAACTTGGAAAATTTGGGTGTTCATTCTTGGGTATACTTTTTACAAAAATCAACTCAAACCAAATAAAATTTAGTTTAAATAAAATAAAGTTTTCATAGGCCATATTGCCACTGTTTTTGACCCATTCAGTATGACTATAAAGTATTATTTTTGCTGTGATTTTTAAATAAAAATAATAAACAAAATAAGAACCATATTTCAGTTATACTAATGTAAATAACAAATAAAATAAAAAACATTCAATATGACTAAAATATGAATTTTACTGTGAATATTAAACATTTTCCTGCAGTTTTTGACTCATTCAATATGACTATAAATATATTATTGCAATAAAATATATATTGCAATAATACTAATGTACTGTAAAATTAAAAAAAATAAATTACTATAAAATATGATTCATACTGTGATTATTATTCAATTAAAATAATAAATATATTGCAGCAAAACTAAAGTATTGTAAAAAAAAAAAAAAAACATTTAATTTGACAAATAATTTTGACTGTTATTATTAAAAATAAACAAAATAAGAGATTATTTCAATAATAATAATGTACTGTAAAATAAAATAAAAACATTCCTTATGACTAAAATATACATTTTACTGTGAATATTATATATATTCCCTGTGCTTAATGCATTTACTGTTATTAATATTGCTATAAGATATTATTCTTACTGTGATTATTAAATTAAAATAATAAACAAAATAAGAAATATATTGCAGCAATAGTAATGTACTGCAAAATAAAAAAAACATTGAATTTGAAAATAAAATATGATTTTTACTCTGAATATTATACACATTCCCACTGTTTTGACCCAGTTTATGACTATAATATATGGTTTTACTGTGATTATTATTAAATAAAAATAAACAAAATAAGAAATATATTTCAGCAATAGTAATGTACTGTAAAAAAAAACAAACATTCAATTTGACTATACAATTATTTTTACTGTTAATATTATACACATTTTGTTTTTGACCCATTCTATGACTATAAAATATAATTAACTGTGTCTCTATCAATTTTATTTCCATATATCATTCAGCTGTACTCATAAATATGAGAGCGTTCAGACAGGGAGGTTTTAACAGCATCTCCCCATTTCTCGAATGAAACCTGTGCCTTTGCATCCAGTTCTTGAAGTGTGCGGTGACTCAACTGTACCAGCCAACAGTTTTGAATGATTGCAGTGTGTAACTGGGTCATCAACATTTGCAGCAGTTCCTTCACTTGTAGCACTTTCTCCCGTCAACCTTTTGTACTAGAAATTCATTGTTCTCCTCCCACTAAATTATGGTTCCCGGGAGCCTTGAGAACTGTGACAGCCACAGCATCGATGTTCCCGCGGAGGCCGATCATTTGCACTGCTTTTATTGCGTTCAGATCCACTATGTTGTGTCTGAATGGAGAATGTCAAACCTCACGTCTCAGATGTTGCTGTTATGAAAGAGGTCAATCAGACCTCAGCGATCTGGACACCTGAGGAAACCAAGTGTGATTTCATCACTTTATGCCAATATAAATATTAGCATCTGCACCAAATTGCATATTTTTGCTCCGTTTGAGTCTCTGAATAAATTTGAGCTGTTTTATTCCTCCATATTCTCACTATATCAGATATATGAGCCATAAAAGCCTGATGGTCTTGTTGAAATATATAGCTGAGTATGGTCAGCATAACAATGGAAACTAGTCCCATATTTTCTGATAATAATACCAAGGGGCAACATGTTTATTGAAAATAGCAGAGGGCCTAAGACAGATCCTTGTGGCACTCCATACTTTACTACCGTTAATTCAGATGATTTCCCATTTAATCTACAGTGTGGATCAAATAATGATACTCAACAAAAAGACAAATGCAAAC